GCGCGCCCCGGGCGGCCCAGCCCGGCCCCGGACGCAGGTGAGGACCGTGCGCCCCGCGGGCTCCGGGGAAGGGTCGGCTGTGGATGATCCGGCTCAGAGCTCAGTGCGGCCACCGGCGCTGCTCCTCACACCTCGCACTTACTGTTCCCCTTTCTTTGGAAACAACTCCATTTTAAAGAAACTACAGGCAGTCCTCGAGTGAGGTTGGACTCCATATACGCCCTTTCGTGGTTACTTGGACCCCATATACGTCCTTTCGTGGTCACGTCGCCATCTCCTATTTATTTATACAAAAAAATGTTCTGTCATGCCGACGTATGTGCATATGTGCTTTATGTTTTTATTATTTATTTACCACAAGTAAAGGTCAGGAATTGTTATCTTTTAATTTTTTTTACTGTTTCACTTCATTATTGCTGAGTATGTGCTCCATGTGAGTGACGTAGGTGGGTTCCGACCTACGGTGAAAATCGAGTTATGTTGCGCCTTAGGAAGGGATCTCCGATGTAACCCAAGGCCCTACTGTATTTAGAGCTTAGGTGGCCATTGGTATTTATTATTAGTTTTTTAAAAAATACATGTTTTTATTGATTTCAGAGAGGAAGGGAGAGGGAGAGAGATAGAAACACCAATGATGGGAGAGAATCATTGATTGGCTGCCTCCTGTGTGTCCCCCACTGGGGATGGAGCCTGCAACCCCAGACATGTGCCCTTGACCAGAATTGAACCTGGGACCCAGGACCCTTCAGTCCACAGGCCTACACTCTCTCCACTGAGCCAAACTGGCTAGGGCTGGTATTTATTATTAATTTAAAACAATAAATCACCATTAGGCAGTCACTGATGCCCGCGAGCTTTGCATGGAATGGCGTGCTTATAATTTTTACGACAGTCCTACCAGCTAGGACACAGCTAGCCCCGCTTAGCAGATGATAACAAAGGGAAACAACATGCCCAAAGTCATACTGCTGGTCAATGTCAGAGGCAGAATTTTATCTTTATAATTGCTTGGACCCATTCGATTTAACAAAAAACACAAAAACACCAAAGTTGACAAAATAAATTGTATCAGTAAAACGGTTGAGTCAAATGCTTCAGTTCTAAACTGCCATGCTTCTCTCTAGTCTGGAATAACTCAGTGAGATCTGGGGTGTGCAGGGGGATGGATTTCGGTAAAGGTATACAGTTACACACCATAATTAAGCAGAGAGCAGGCCCCACATTCTAAAAGTTCTTTGTCTCCTTCGCCCTCCATCCCTTCCCTCCACCTCTGGCCCCAGGCAACCAGGCTCTGCTTTCTGTCACAGGGCTGTCAGATTTCACCCCAGCTGCTCAGCAAGCCCTTGTAAGGCTGGTTTTGCATCCTCGTCATCACCCCCGTTGTCACCCCCCGTCTTACAGACAGTAAGGCTGACAGGCATAGCAAATACAAACACAGGACTCCCAGTCCATGTCCGATTCACAGCACACACTTTTTTAGAATAAGTATGTCCCAAGCAATATTTGGGACATGCTTCACTGGGCATTTTATCTGGCAACCCTAAGCCTGACACTGAAAAGGTGATCTCTCGTAGCCACTTCTCACCTAGATTCTATTCTTCCTATTCTCTAGAAGATGTAAAATAGCTCAGGGTTTTTAATCTGATTCAATACAAAGCACTATAAAGAAGGAAACTATAAAAGCCCCATCCGCGCACACGCACACGCATGTGTGTGTCTGTGTGTGTGTGTGTGGTGAGTATAAGTGTATTTTCAGTTGGTTTCCTGGGAAGTTCTGCATCCCCATAGAATAGAAACTTTGTCTTAAGAATTAACTGACTTATTCATATACTTAAGAACTGTTTACTGAGTTCTGTGGGCTCAAGGGTCCGGGGTTTGATTCTGGCCAAGGGCTTATGCCCAGGTTGTGGGCTCAATCCCCAGTAGGAGGCGTGCAGGGGGCAGCCAATCAATGATTCTCTCTCATCATTGATGTTTCTATCTCTCTTCCCTCTCCCTTCCTCTCTGAAATCAGTAAAAATATATATTTTAAAGTACATATTATCTGAACATTGTCTTTTAAAAAATGTCCAAAAATACGTCATAATTCAAGAACAGAAGAGGTATGTTTTCCTTTTGTCCTCTTGAAATAATTTTTTGAGAGAGTGGGCTAAACCCGTGGTCGGCAAACTGCGGCTCTCGAGCCATATGCGGCTTTTTGGCCCCTTGAGTGTGGCTCTTCCTAAGCCTTAGGAGCACCCTAATTAAGTTAATAACAATGTACCTACCTATATAGTTTAAGTTTAAAAAATGTGGCTCTCAAAAGAAATTTCAATCGTTGTACTGTTGATCTTTGGCTCTGTTGACTAATGAGTTTGCCGACCACTGGGCTAAACTATCATACCAGGTAATTCTTCCTCAGGATGCAGCTGGGTTTTATACCTAAACTGTGTGCTGTCTGATGCCAATAGGAAAGGCTCTATTTTGATAGAGTTGAAGAACTTGTGAGTTGCCGTGACTTTTGGCAGACTTACCTACAGCTTGTTGTATGTTTATCTTCCCCCTCCCAGCAGTACTAGAGAAGGGAGGGGAAGGATTCTTTGAGAAGTCAGTTCAGGCTGTAAAACCTGCTGGGAGAGTTTCTGCTCTGTGATGGGTATTGGAACCTGAATTCCTGTTGACTTTCTCCCCAGATCTTGGCCTGAGGGTGGAGGCTCTGCAAGATGCTCTCTTGGAGATGCTTAGCCCAGGCAGCCCTGCTGTGATCCCAACCAATTTGGGAGCAGCTGCGACATTTATGAACATGTGCCAGGAAAGACAACGGCCTTTTAAAGATCACTTAGTTAATAAAAAATAGTAATTGCATGCAAAGAAGACAGGGTTCTGCTTCTATTTAATGGAATTAGCAGAGATGGGGTGAGGGGAGTGGTGGTGTATAAATCCCAGGAAGTTTGAGTTGCCTTGTGGGGCAGGTGCCTTTGGACAGTCTCTGGCATGGCAGGAAAATGTCCTGGAATGGAAAAGAAACAGAATTTTCTGCTGCCAGATTTAGAAGGAAGTTTGCAAACTTAAATGGCTACAGGAGTCGGACTGGTAATTTAAACGAGAGGCACAGATGAGGTGAGAGGCCAGGGGGCGTGGGAACTGCCTAGTCTCTGAAGGGGGTGGTTGTTTGAGAGAGTGGGAGCCCAGTGATTCCAGACCTTCTGATTTTTCAAAAGAAGCCAGAATTCAGTTTGTTCAATATCAACTTTAATTTTGTAGACCAGTTGTGGGTTTACAGAAGAGTTGCAAGGAAAGTACAGAATTTCTAGATACCCTGCACCCGGTTTTCCCTCTTGTTTTCCGTTAGCATGGTGCGTTTTTACAGTTAATGAGCCAGCGTTGCTATAATATTATTAACTGGACTTTATCATTTATTCAGACTTCAGGGTTTACCCGGTGTCCTGTTTCTGTCCCACGCCCCCATCCAGGACAGCACGTTACATTTAGCTGTCACCGTCTCCTCAGGCTTCTCTTACCTGTGACAGTTTCTTACGTTTCGTGGTTGTGAATGACCTGGACTGCTCTGAGGCCTGCTGGGCTAGTATTTTGTGGACGGTCCCTCCATTGGAATCTGATGTTTTCACGCGCCTAGACTGCGGTGATGTGTTTGTGTTTTCGGGAGGGAGACCACACAGGTCGAGGGCCCTTGTCATCACACCCTAGAAAGGGCAGCCACTATCATCAACGTGACCCGTCCCTGTTGGCGTGAACTTTGATCTCCTGGCTGAGGGAGTGATTGGCAGGCTTGGCCCCTATGAAGTGACCCTTTCATCTCCCCTCCCACACTGTATTTTTGGAAGGAAGTCGCTGTGTGTGGCCCACACTTAGCGTTGGGAGTTGTACTCCTTCTCCTTGTGGGATGAGTGTCTACATAAATCATATGAGATTCTTCTACACAGGAGATTTGTCTGTTCTCTCCTATTTATTCATTCATTCATTTATTTATTCATTTATATTTGGTATCTCACCAACCTTGAATTGGAGGCTCTTTTGCCATAAATGTGTGTTTTCTGGATCTTTCAGCTGAGACGGGTCTTTGGAAATTGCCTGCCTCCCTTCCCACCAAAGTACTATCTCGCGATGACCACATCTATGGCTAATGAGAGGAGGGACCAGTTGGAACATTATTTGCAAAATGGTAGGTATTTGGATTTTTAAAAAATACATTTAGTGAAATATAGGTTGCACAATATGCAATCCACTCATTTAAAGTGTACAATTCTGTGGTTATATTTACAGGATTGTGCAGCTGTCACCAAGGTCTAATTTGAGAACATTTTTATCACTCCAAAAAAGAACGTATGCCTATTATAAGTCACCCCCTAGTCCTCTCCCCTACTAGCCCCTGTCACCCACTACACTCATGTCTGTCTTTATAGCTTTGCTTCTTCTGGACATTTCAGATAAATGGAATCATTAATAGGTGACCTTTGTATTTGATTTTAAAAATACTTTTCTCTAGCTTCCTTTATAGTAAGAATATAGTACATAATACATATAACATACAAAATGCATGTTAATCAACTGTTTATCTTACCAGTAAGGCTTCTGGTCAACAGTAGGGCATTAGTAGTTAAATTTTGGGGGGGGGGGAGGTCAAAGTTCTACTGTGATATTCGACTGCATGGGGGTCGGCACCCCTACCCCCTGCATTGTTCAAGGGTCAACTGTATACAATGAAAGGTACATTCCCTCCCACCACAGCCCCCAAACTTCTAGAAGTACACACTATTACAAGTGGATTCCTCAGAAACCATCTGTGTGTATACTATCGTGTGTGTACACCCCTGTTTGTCCATCACTAACAGAAACTTACTCTATACATTTGTCTATATCTGATTTTTAAAAGCTTTTTATTCTGAAAGATTCTCTGATTTACAGAAAAGTTTCAAAAAGGAATGCAAAAATGTCTGTGAACGCTTCACCTAGACTTCCCAAATGTTAACATTTTCATATGCCTTATCATTCTCTCTCGCTTTCCCTGCACGTGTGTCTACCTATTCATATATATTGTCTATAACTTATTGAGATACTTGTGTTGTACACACAAGCCATGTTGCCTTTATGTAGTTCTGTGTGTACTTCCTAAGATCAAGGACATGCCCTTCTATAACCACAGTATAGTTGGTTATCAAAATCAGGAACTTAACAGTGATACAATAATGTTATTTAGAGACCTTATTCAAACCTCACCAACTATCCCACTAGGTCCTTCATAGCAAAAGAAAAAAAGGTTTTTTCTTCTGCATGCTGTTTCCTTATTTCTCGTGGCTGCACATTTTTTTTTTAAAGCATAGCCAATGAAAATTCTAGAAGTCACCTATTTCCCATCTGTCTTTTGTAATGGAGAATATACCCCTTTCAGACCTGCTAAATAAGTCATTTCAAGCTCACAATGTAATAATTTTTGAATTTTCATTCTCTCTTGGTTTGCTTCCTCACATCTTAGAGACAGGCTCCTTTCACCGCTGGCCTTTTCACAGATGATCTCAGTGCTTCCGGGGTCAGTCTCCAGGCCTGGCCTTTATCCGTAGCATCAGCGTGACTCGTGCATCCATCCTCTTTGGCAGGTGGCTAGTGAGCAGCTCGGGTTTGCATGAGCGAAGTCAGATTCCTGACACGTCACCTGGGATTGCTGTGATGGGTTCGTGTTGTCAGGGCTGCCTGGAGGCAGCAGGCTTTGCAGATTTTCATGTATTTGAGAGGTCAAAGCTCTACTGCCTTCAAGGAGGCAGCAAGGCCTGGAGGGTTCCCGAAGGTGGGAGCCATTTAATAGGGAAGTTAGCCCAGCCCCATGCTAACCGGCTCCATGTCCATGTTTTTCAGTAACCGTGGACCCCAACATGTTGAGAAGTGATGTCTTCGTTGAATTTCTAAAGCGGGTGCAGCTGGTAAGCTTGCTCTTCTTTGCTGGGGTCATAGTTTCGCTGCAGAACAGGTCTCTGCGTGAACCACGCGCGTTTCCGGCCCCACAGAGCCTGGACTCAGGGAACACACATTCCCGTGGAGCACTTGGGAGGATGGTTCCTATTTTGCTCTTTTGGAGGTTTAGATTCCGGATGGAAAATTAAGTGTGTCACTTGACTTTTTGCTCATTTAATAAAGCAGTTACCTTTTTAAGTATTTGTACATCTCAAAACTGGTCCGAGAGTGTTATATCATGAAGGGCCCCATGACAATGCAGCAATGCCACTTCTTTGTTTTTAATTTTTCAAATTTTTGTTGATTTCAGAGAGGAAGGGAGAGGGAGAGAGAGAGAGAAACATCAATGATGAGAGAGAATCATTGATGGGCTGCCTCCCAGATGCCCCCTCCTGGGGATCGAGCCTGCAATGGAACATGTGCCCTGACTAGAATCAAACTGTGACTTCAGGGGTCGTAGGTCAATGCTCAACCACTGAGCCTTACCAGCTGGGCGGGATGCCACTCCTGTAGCTGAAATTCCCAGATGTGTGATGGTGGAGCCAGCAGGGCAGCAGG